AATATTATTGCAAGAGCACTGGAAAATTCACGTTTAATCACTAGGAATATTATACCTTCTTCTTGTCTTTATGTCGTGGCAAATTATTCATGTATTATGTTCCTTGGATATCCAGTTGTGCCATTCTGAGTTGATATTTTCAGACGCGATTCTTTTTGAAGCAAGGTGTTTTGATGCATTTTCTTCTATAAATTTCCTTTATAGATTTATCCACAGCAGTAGCGCAATCACTGTTAGGAAATTATGGACAAAACAATGGTATAAAAGTATCACCAAAGCCTGTCGAAACTACTTAGCAGGTATGCGGCATGTAGGAAAAATCTTATTGACCTCAGCCGTACGAAATTATTTGGAAACTCGGTTGCATGTAGGAAAAATCTTACTGACCTCAGCCGTACGAAATTATTTGGAAACTCGGTTTGCAAAATTTGACTCCGGCCCTCGTGCTTCGCACTCGGGCCTACGTCAATTTTGCAAACCTCGTTTCCAAATAATTTCGTCGGCCCGGTCAGTAATATATAATACTGAACGAGGCCGGTGTAAATAAATTTTCAAGACCGAGGTCCTTACTGGATTTTTGAACGAGGCCGAAGGCCGAGTTCAAAAATCAGTAAGGACTGAGGTCTTGAAAATTTATCACCGGCCGAGTTTGGTATGTATTTTACTGTATGCCAACGATGAATTTATTTTCTGGACCGAAGCTCTTAGCCGACTTAGGAACGAGACCATCCCAAAATGTTGGCTTAAGTGCATTCTGGTAATGCATTTTTGACCGTGGTCAATTTGCTTACACCAGTTATTACCACACCCCTCTGGCTAATGTATTTGAATAGGCCAGGCATACAGTAATATATATTACTGACCGGGCCGACGAAATTATTTGGAAACGAGGTTTGCAAAATTGACGTAGGCCCGAGTGCGAAGCACGAGGGCCGGAGTCAAATTTTGCAAACCGAGTTTCCAAATAATTTCGTACGGCTGAGGTCAAGGCTGAGGTCAGTAAGATTTTTCCTACATGCCGCATAGGTACATGCTAAGTAGTTTCGACAGGTTTTGGTGACACTTTTATACAATTGTTTTGTCCATAATTTCCGAACAGTGATTGCGCTACTGTTGTAGATAAAGCTTTAAAGGAAATTTATAGAAGAAAATGCATCAAAATACCTCACTTCAAAAAGAATCGCGTCTGAAAATATCAACTCAGAATGGCACAACAATTGGATATCCAAGGAACATCATGCATGAATAATTTGCCACGACGACATAAGAACAAGAAGAAGGAAGAAGGTATAATATTCCTAGTGATTAAACGTGAATTTTCCAGTGCTCTTGCAAGAATCTTTTCTTTATTTATGTAATCGTACTTTGTTGATGACCTATGGCTAAACTTTCGTGAAATACATTATATTTTCCATATTTTACATGTTTGTTTCGAGGAAAGGACTACAACTGTCAAATAATAACGCAATAACTTAGGCCCAAGGTATCAGTCGACATATCAAACGAAGATAAGAAACAAGCGATAACGGATTTCGATAAATAGGAGCATATCTTGCCATAATTTCGGCTTTGTAACCAATACTAAGTATTTCAAAACCCTTGATAAGCAGAGCAGATATTTTTTTTTACCAAAAAATGTTAGTTTTCTAATTTTACGCGGCAAATATCATGCAATAATGATGTCAATTATACATTCCCTATCAATTATACCTCTGGGCTAATGCGATAAACTGTAGTTTAGAGGTCATTGCCCTGGGCAGTAAACTCGGGCAGTAAACTTTTGTTTCCTGCCCGGCCTATCAAATAACATGGCATTTTGACACCGACAGTTTCTTGGTCATAGTTTTACTGCCCGGCTCGTGCTGTGCTTAAGACATACCCCGGCATGTAGGAAAAGAGGAGTCATTTTCCGTCAGCAGCAAAAAGAAAAACCATCGTTTATTAGCACATCCTGTATCCCTGGCCATTCTTCAGCAAAGGCTCCAGGTTTATCTATTTTGTGGCGGATTTAACGCAAATGCCGTGCGTGACGCACTCGAAGATGCGTCACTGATATTAGCTGGCCACTGTATCGAGCCCAATTCCCCGCCGAGTGACAGCAGAGTGCCACTTCTCTGAACCCCGAACGACCCTAGTCGTCGGCATGGGAACGCTCCAGCAATTAGACGACTCTGGGCCGGGCAAAGCTGACGCAACTGGCTATTTTGAGACCACGTGACGCTAAAACAAACCGTGTCTGGGCCACTTCCATGTTAGTTTTATGCCCGTGGGATTTGACATTTTCGATTCCAAATGGACGCACGATCGTGGACGGCCCACGCCACTGACGCAATGTTGCTAATGGCACTCCTTCGACGCAACACTCGAGGTCTTCGATACTTGATATGGACATGGGCAGTGTATGTAATTAGAAGAAGAAAATAGGACACCAATCAATTTTAAGTCCTGTTACGGTATAATTCATCACGTAAGACGAAATCGATCCCAGCATCTATGTTCCTGACATGCAACCAAAGATGCTCATCGAATGGCTCAAGTCGATCTATAATACTGCCAGAGCAGGCTGGAAAGTTCCAGCACAGCCTCCAGTGGCTGTCCTGACTCCCGGCTGGCGCGCCGAGCAGGATCCCATCCCGTGACGCCAGCGCTGACCGGACCCTCTCTGGCCAGAGTCAGACCCGTGCGGCGCTCTGACGAGTCCCGGGCCACCAGACGACCTTTGGCGTGTGCCAGGAGCGGGACCAGCAGTGTGGGAGGCGGTGGGCGGCGGGCCCGGACCTGCCTGGGACGAACGGCCCCGCCAGTCGCAGGCAGGCCACTTGGACCGCACATCAAAAACCACCGATGATTGAAAAAACAGCCGATACTATCGAGGGCTGCTCGGGAATGACGAGTAGACGTTACACTGATGTAAACCCGGCTACAGGTTCCCAGAGACCTGTCTCAGTCGCGCTGTAAAAACGCCTGAGGAGACTGTTAAGTAGGTACTAGCATATGACATTTCGAGTTCGAGAACAAAGGCTCAGAAAGCGGTCTAATTTGTCGGCGTACCCGATCGCGTCCGTTGGCAACAGACGGCTGTTGGGTCCTGAAGTGAGCTATTTCAGTCGGTTATTTCAGGTGGAAGCGAGTAGTTGTCACCGGCGAGTGACGACTGTCAATCAAAGAGGGTTGTAATCAAACGGAGCAGCCCGGCTGACACGAGCCCCGTCACTCGTAACCGGCCACCATAAATAGACGCTAATAACACCACTCACTATGATCTATTTCAAATAGTTCCGCCAGATAATGAGCGGCCTAATCAATCCACGGAAATAAAATTGCAATGCAAGCAAGATTGCCTCGTTTATATCGACGAGCGTAATCCGCGTTAGGAACTTTGCGCCGAAAAGTCTCAGAATAGCGAGTCGTCGCCGCAGCCGCCGCGCCGCCCGCCGACGGACAAAAATAAGCCCAGGAATTGGCCAGCCAATCAGAGCCGTATAGATTATCCATCGCGAGGTGGCAGCGGCGTGGGCCTATTTCGGGCGGCGCCGCGGTAGTACGCGGGCGGGACACTGACGGCGCGGAGTCTGTCGGGGCCGGGTCACGTCTCCAGCGAGGGGGCGGCCAGAGACGCGGTACAGGTCACCTCAGGGGTGGAGAAACCGCGCAGGCGGCTAGCCCGGTACCACTGTCGTCCGGGCAGCACCCATTACTCAATAAAACGATACCCATAAAAACAGAGGATGTCATTACCACCGACCAGAGACTCCGGGAGCAGGCCACACTGAGTTGAGTCGAGAGCAGGGCTAGTCAATCGGACGGCTACCCGCCCGGACCAGCATACAGAGGCTGGCGTCATACCACCAGCAGCACGCAGCCGTGCGCCTGGTCGGCCCGGCGCGGCCTGCGAGCCTCTAACTTATTCAGGCGGAACTGCGCAACGGCCACGAATAGACGGGAGATCGATACGAATTAAAAATCGGAGACTTAACCCACGAGCCGCTGGGGGGGGGGGGGGGGCATAAAGTTGCCCCCCCTTTACGTTTTGTGGAATATCTCCGAAACCTGATGAGCTACGAACGTGAAACTTGGCATAGCTTCAAATGAATACCTAGGCAATGTTTGAAGAAAGTTTGGTGGTTGTAGCATCTAAGATGACGTCACAGTGACGTCATAAAGTTTTGTCGTTTTCCGATATGGACCGTTTCTGATGACGCTGAGCATGAAACTCAACTGTAAATGAACTAGACAGCACCTGCTGTCATCCTAAAACATCTAAGTACACTTCCATCTAGTTGCTAACCAATAATTAGCCCTTTATATTCGGTCCCATATACCTGATGTATCGTGAGGAAACTGAGAGTCGCAAATCTATAATTTGACTTATGACGTCACTGTGACGTCATTTCAAATGGGATCGACACCAAATTTGGACACAACCTCGGCTAGGTATTCAGGAAGATGTGTGCAAAGTTTCGCTTCTCTATCTCTTCGCGTTGCGACGATATCGCCGCGGAAGTAAAGGGGGGGGGGGGCAACTATATGCCCCCCCCAGCGGCCGGCGGGTGGCGCGGAGGCCCAGCGGCCGCCGGGTTAATGAAATAGACACAGCAGCAACAAGCTGGTTCGCCGTTTGCTATCAGGTCATTGTGGTCAGTACAAGGTGGCACCGATAAACCGTACCGGGTATTCTGGTTGTACCTAACGTACGGCGAACACCTTGGATACCGATACAACCAAACCTGCAGCGAAAACAGCCAGCATCTTACTCAATAACTGAGCCAGGATTAAAGTGGATCCTCCGCACGCACTGATCATTCTTAAATATACCTAAATGTTATGTTTTCTTGCTATATCATTTTCTGGTTAACATATTTGTCGTGCTGCCCTTTTGAAAATTCCCTGTTTACTTTACCGCTTGACAAACACTGCAAATTTGTGTACAAGTATGTGTACGCTGTAGGTTTGTGTAGTTTAACTGTGCGGGCGGAGATGAGTAAAAGCCGGGCACCCACCTTGACGGCGTATTCTGTGCGCGACGCGCGGTGTAGGCAGCGCCGGCACACGGAGAAGCTGCCCCGTCCGATCACCTCCAGCAGCTCGTACTCGTCACTGATGTTGTTCGGCTTGATTTTCTGCGGGTTCACGGGAGACAGACACACGGACGCAGCGTCAGATCCACGGATCGGACTCATCCGACTCTTTCAAATGTGATTGAACAATGAACATTGAAACGTAAAACATACTAAAAAAAAGGTAGCAAATACAATTATACTACAAAAACACAATGCCACTACCATATGAGCTGGCAGGGAGCAGCAGCCGCCAGGTGCGGCACGGATTTCTCTCCCACCCTTGACCGGTTCTATTTTTGTTCGCCGAGGTCGGTCGCCGGGCTGCGTAGCGCGTCCACCTGCCACGAGGGAGCTTTTTCGACGGTGTGTGTTTTTCGCGGCCGGCACCGGAACGACTCAGTCTGTAGTGTGTGTGCGTGTAGCGGGTCGTAATGCCCCGCTCTCGTCCAGAGATGAGGGCGACGCGTCCGAGATACAGAGGAGGGAGAGATTGAGAGGGAGAGGAGGGAACCGAGATACAGAGGAGGCAGGTGGAGGGAGGGATATAAATTGAGAGGGAGAGGGGGGAAGAACAGAGAGTCACTCGCAGAGAAGATGGGAAAAAGAGTGAAAAGGAGGAAAAGGAAAGGTGTGTGAGTGAGCGAATTGGGAGCGGAAAGGAGGAAGAGAGTCGGACAGAGAAAGACAGAGCGAAAAAGAGATAGAGAGCTGGAGATAGGGGAAATTGGAGAGTGAGAGAGAGAGAGAGAGAGAGAGAGAGAGAGAGAGAGAGAGAGAGAGAGAGAGAGAGAGAGAGAGAGAGAGAGAGAGAGAGAGAGAGAGAGAGAGACAGAGACAGAGACAGAGACAGAGACAGAGACAGAGACAGAGACAGAGACAGAGACAGAGACAGAGACAGAGACAGAGACAGAGACAGAGACAGAGACAGAGACAGAGACAGAGACAGAGACAGAGACAGAGACAGAGACAGAGACAGAGACAGAGACAGAGACAGAGACAGAGACAGAGACAGAGACAGAGACAGAGACAGAGACAGAGACAGAGACAGAGACAGAGACAGAGACAGAGACAGAGACAGAGACAGAGACAGAGACAGAGACAGAGACAGAGACAGAGACAGAGACAGAGACAGAGACAGAGACAGAGACAGAGACAGAGACAGAGACAGAGACAGAGACAGAGACAGAGACAGAGACAGAGACAGAGACAGAGACAGAGACAGAGACAGAGACAGAGACAGAGACAGAGACAGAGACAGAGAGAGAGAGAGAGAGAGAGAGAGAGAGAGAGAGAGAGAGAGAGAGAGAGAGAGAGAGAGAGAGAGAGAGAGAGAGAGAGAGAGAGAGAGAGAGAGAGAGAGAGAGAGAGAGAGAGAGAGAGAGAGAGAGAGAGAGAGAGTGCGAAGCTGCAGCATAAGGAGTGCGAAACAAATTGGGATAGAGTAAACAGGCAACAATTCAGCGAGAAGAGTGGGAAAGAGGGAGAGAGAAAGATGTGTCGAGAGCAGCATTTCTCTCTTCAAGTGGATAAAACGCAGGGACAGTGTTCACTGTTCAGCCAAGCGAAAAAGAAATAAGACGTTCTCGGACGAGCTGACACAAAAACAAAAGAAACAAAGGAGCGTGCGCCGCGCGTCGTCCGCCGCCCACACCACCCACCTTGTTGATGGGGTTGGTGGGTGCCGGCTGGCCCGAGAGGGGAGGCACGCGTGGAGCGCCGTTATTGTTGTTCGTGGCCATACCCAGCTCTTCGTTAATGTTGGGCGCCACGAAACTGAAGCCTCTGAACAGTTCGTGCGCGTTGGCGCTGGCCGGGACACCGGGCGAGTCTGTGGGGAGTCGGCAGGGTCAGTGTCGAACGGAGGAGACTAGCCTGTACTCCAGGCCAGTCTGTGGGGAGTCGGCAGGGTCAGTGTCGAACGGAGGACACTAGCCTGTACTCCAGGCCAGTCTGTGGGGAGTCGGCAGGGTCAGTCCTGAAAGGACACTCAACTGTACACCAGACGAGACCGCGGGGCTGGGGAAGGATCAGTGGATAACCGGCTCGGTGACAAAATCACCAGATCATAAAATCAAAATCACCCGATTAAGGTGCGCACACCTTTTGCTCTGATAACAAGGGCAGCCCCATCAACTTGAATACTGAACAGCGTCGAAACTTCCACGCCAATTAGCTAAGGTCTAGTTGACCGAGCACAACTTGGCAGACAGTCTTATCAACATCAAGCTCGTCGTACATTGTGCGTGGGTTGCCGACCGGGAAACTTTCCACCAAACATCTGGTTTGTTGTTTGTTTATTGGGGCTTTAGGGCGCGTCGACTGCAAAGGTCATTTTGCGCCCATAACGTCGCGCTAGTAAAACAAGTGTTTCAAAAGAAGAAACTTTCTAGATATCAAGACTAGAAAGTAAAAGACTTTATAAAAAAGACAGATACCTAGTCAAGTTATGCTTACCTATGGTTTCAGACAGCCCCTGTCTCCGGCCTGCAGTGCTGACTGCTCGATAATTACTTACTCAATACTCAGCACACATGCATAACATGCAGCATGAGGTATCCACCTTCCAACAGCGTTTAGCATTCATAGCTCACGTTGTCGAATTCCTCTGTACCTAGCGTACAGGCCTCGCTTCACATGTGATAGTTGCTCAATTTTGAGGTACTATTTTGACAAACCCGAAAATAGCCCGAAGGATATGTTATCGGGGTCTGTCGTCATTGATCTCAGTGCCGGAGATTCCTGCAGTGATCAGCGGCGAATCTGTGGTCAATCGGCAGAGGCGGGCCTCTCCCTGGTACGTGCCGCTCACGAGTTAAGTCGACACCGTCAAACCGCCGTTCAAAAAAACAAACAAACAAGCAAGCAAGCAAGCAAGCAAACAAACAAACAAACAAACAAACAAACAAACAAACAAACAAACAAACAAACAAACACAACAACAACAGCGACGACAAAACGGTTCTTCAACTGGGCAGATAAAGCCAACGATGGATTCAATATTTGGTGAAAGGCATTGCGTGTCTCTACGTTACGCTTTTCGAGCAACTGTTCAGATAGTCACCGAGCTCTTCTAGATTCTGTCGAAATGAGAACACCTAAAAGGCAGTAAAACCCCTCCCCGCAACACTCCCTGTACCTTGCACCGCGCTGTACCCTACCCCGTACCTCCGCTGTACCACCCTCACAGCTCGTACCTCGTGGCGTGCGTGATGTGTACTCGGAGTCGAAGTAGAACGTGTCCTCCTGGCGGGTGACGGCGGGTTTAAACGGCGGCTGCATCTCCTTTCGGTACAGGGCTCCCCAGTCGATCGAGGCGAAAAACTCGTGCCTCTGAATCTCTCGAACACCCTCCGGACCTGGCGGTGAGAGTGGGGAGTGTGCACAATCGTTCAGGATCTGTTTTTCTGTAACTTTATCTAATGCTTGAAGAAGACTGAGGAGCAGCTGGAGCAAGGTGAGGGGGGAACAGTGGATGAAACGGGACATGACGGGACGGAAGGCGTAACAGGGAAAAGATCAAAATATGGAATGGGAGAAGGGACAGGATGGGACGAGAAGAGTCCAGAACTGGACGAAACCTCAGAAGGGCATAGGACACTGGTGTCGGGGACACTGCGCTAACTCTGAACTACGGAGTGGGGGATGACGACAGAGCCCGACCCGGACATCCCTCTCGCTCCGCTCGTTGGGCATAAGTCGCCCGGATCACTGGTCAGCTCAGCCGGCACGCAGCTCGGCCGGCCGGTCGCGACCCTCAGTGACCTTCATCGCGGCCGATTCCGACGGCACGGCCGACGCCGGGCCGCGGCGTCACCGGGCACATCCTGCGCAACACGGCGCTCCCCGCCGCCCCCCGCCGCCGCCCGCCGGCCGGGACGGGGGCCTTCCGCTGCTGGTAACAGGTTCTCTGGCTGGCGGCGGCACGACCCGGCCCCGGACGTGACCGCCACACAAACGACCTCCGCCCGCCCGCCGCCGGTCGCTGCCGCCGCGCCGGGACGCCCACACACGACCGGAGGTCGGCGGATGGCGACCGGCGGCCAGATATGGCGACCTGAGGCCGGCGGATGGCGACCAGGAGCCAGATATGGCGACCAGAGGCGGCGGATGGCGAGTGGCAAGCGGCGGTGGCAAAAATATATAGCGGGCGGGTGGTAATTGTGTGATGACATAACACATGCAGAGATAATGAGAAAACGCCATGACGAGTGTGCGACATTGATGCAACAGCTGTTCAGATATCAGTTTCGTGCGCTGTGCGCAATCCGTAAATATGAGACGTCAGGTAGCTATCTGTGATTGCAAAAACCTTCAGCTTCTACTTTGTGCCATGAGTAGTAGGTCGAAAGTCTATCACAACCAGGCGACTAATCGGCATCGAAATTGAAATCGTCCTAAGGACAGGGAACTGGGGACATCCCTGATTGTCTATGTAAGTCAAGCATGATGCATATAAATCGTTCATGTACAGGTCTCGCGGGTTTTAGCGGTAGCTTTTGCACCTAGAAAATTTAGTGTACTTCAGGCTATATCTTCGTCGTCTTAAGCTTTTAAGTGTTGAAGATACGATCGACTTGTTGGGTAACAAGCCGGGCATGATCGTGTAAAATGGCTTCATCGTAGATCGATTAGTTTCTGAGCTATAACCGGAAATGTAAAAGTGCAAAACCTACCGCTTAATCTCGCGAGAGCCGTACCCCTATTTCATTCCCTTCCGAGCCGGCAGGTTCCGATCAGTACCGGTGCTAGAGCCGACAAATCTGGCCACGCTGGTGGCGAGACTCTCACCTGAGCCCAGCCGGTTGGCCGGGTTTCGTTTGAAGAGGACACGCAGCAGGCTCTGCGCCTCGGGCGACAGGAACTGCGGCATGCCCAGCTTGGCCTTCATGATCTGTGTCATCGTCTCGTGCCGATTGCTGCCTTGGAACGGCAGGCTGCCCGTGAGCATCTCATACTGAAACAGGCAGGGACAGGTGGCGGTTAGTAGCGTGCCAAGAGGAACAGATACATACGGGGGGGGGGGGGTGGTAGACCACAAGGCCACAGACCACAGAGAGACGGTCAGATTTCTTGCCAGGTGCGCCGGGGATAATGGATAGCGTGTTTCGTGCTAACGTCGCGCATTCTTGTTGGAGAAGAAATGGGTAGAAATAATACAAATGGCCGGTGCTGATATTGTTGGGGCAAGACATAAGTAGCCATGCATGCATAAGTAGCGTTTATTGGCACGCAATGAAACACTTCTCAGATTGTTACCTTGGACCATCAGCAGATACGAAGACCAATGTGAATACTCGGGCAATGCAGCAGTAATAAGCGTTCCCGGCTCATCTCCGGGTGATGAATAATTACCACACCCGGTGATTGGCCCATACCCCTCGAGACCAGGCCGCTGACCTTTTCAGGCAATATACACATAATTTTACCGCAGTGTGCATTTCGGTTTAGTGCCTCCCGGCTGAATGGTTATACGAGGCTCATCAACAACTGGCCGGCCGTTAACCTATACAGACACCACCCACGCGGTGCCGCGGCCGGCCGCTGACGCTTCCGGCAGGCCCCGGCACGTGCTGACAGGCGAGGAGGTGAGGAGGGGCGGCAGGGCCCGGCCCGTGGCGACAGGCGAGGAGGTGAGGAGGGGCGGCAGGAGGAGGAGGTATGTAGTGTTGAAGGGGCGGAGGCGCCCGGCTCGTGCCGACAGGCGAGGAGGTGTGGAGGGGGCGGCTGCAGCCTACCCCAGGTAACTGCAGTCAGTGACGGACGATCAGGCGGCCGCTGCTGCCAGAGAGGGTCAGCAGCACTGCAGCCAGCGATAGTCAGCAGCGCATCGCGCGAGAATCACATCCGATTATGATCCACCAGTAAGTAATCTCGTGCCGTGGCTGTAATCTCATCCCAAGTCGTGCAGTGCCTTCGTTCGCTGTTCAGCCGGGTGCCTTTCTTACCGGATCTTAGGGAGTTAAATTCGACAAGCGGGTAACGTAATGCCGTTAACTGGAGTTGCGTCCAAATGTCGCTGAGGTTTGAACCGGGATCAAGTAGTGAATGTTCGCTTATTGAAAAGTTTTTTCGCCCAACTGTATGGACATTGTACAAATTTACACACGTGTGCTACAAAGTTCACATAAGTTTGAAGGTTTATTGACCATGCTATGATTACCTACCTTTCCTTTCAATAAATCTATATGTAAACATGAAAAGGTCGATTTGTATCTCATAATCTCGCAAACAACTTATCAGTCACGTAAAAAGTTAACACGCACAACCATCTTGACGTGTAGTAGCTTCATTTATCTTTCAATGTTAGCCTCTCACTTTATCACATGCGTTACTGTCAAATTTTATGACGTCGGCTTCACACATGTCATCCGTGATTCTGAAATCGAAATGCATTCAAATCATAACATGCATCTTCATTATGTTTTCACGGCATATGAGAGCTGTCTGTCCGCTCTGGCGGGCTCCATCACCAGGTAAAGTCACAGACCGGCTGGCCGGCGGCTGGTGTCGACCCACTGCCGGCGGACCCGGCCCCCTGCAGTCCGACCGTTACCAGCTCGGGGACGCCGCCGCCGGGCCGGCGTGGGTGGCCATTTCATCAGCGAGTCCGCCTCGGTCTGTGCGATGACCCGGCCTGCCAGATGGACGGGATGCCCTCTCTCCCCGGGGAGGAGGGGGCGGTCCGGGCTGACCCGGCCGCTCCGGCACAGCGCTCCATGGCGCAGCGGCAATACCTACCGCCGCCGCAGCTGTGCTCCGCGGCGGGCCCCGACTCCCAGTCCTGCAGTTACACACGGACATTGCCCTCGCCGAGTGGCGTGGGGAAAACTGGTAGATCAGTCTCATCAGCAAACGCCGCCCACGCTTGTCGGAAAGTTCACGCTGATTAGTTTAGCAGTGAGTGGCTTGTATGTCAAGACTATTTTTTACTTCATCATCCCAGAATTGATGGGCGTTACATTGTCCAATACCAGTTCAGCCTGAAAATGGCATTTACGGACTTGAAGATCCTGTAAATGTCATGGTCCATACGTCAAGCATGTAGAAATGCTAGGCATCGTTTCAGCCATGCCTTGCGCCGGTGACCTATGGCCTGTTTGTCTGAAGACCCCATCATCTGTCGACTCGACTGTCGGCCGAGCCTAACTGGCCGGCGCGCGTCGCGCTGTGCCGAACTGCGCCGCTTCTTGCACCGATCGGTGCTCTGATCCAGCCGCTGCTAACAAGGCGCGCCGGCGACGATCGCGGCGCGGTGCTTCGTTAGAGACCCGACGCGTGACGGCCGCGGCCGCTGTTTTTGACGCGCTGCGCCGCCGGATCGCCTATTTATAGATTGCAGAGGTGACGAGCGCTTCTTGCGGGGGGACGGCGCCGCGTAACTCAACGACTCCGCCCGCCAGCCGACGTGCTACGGAGGGAATTTCGCTAATTTGGCCGGGAAAGAATTAAACTATCTGGGCGCTCTTCGCCGATTGATATGGGTCTAAGTATCTTTCCAACACCTAATGTTTCAACTGCCCCCAGGGCGAATAATGGTGGCAGTAAGGTCTAGGATAATGTGTGTGAAGTGTGAACCGATAACACATGTCAGACATGGCGATATAGCCTACATTCCGTTTTGACTTGTAAATAAATAGTGTAAAGGCAAAAAGTAAAAAAAAAATCAAAATAGGCCTAATGTCATTTCATATCAGCATATTCTAACGCTGCCTCTTTATCAAATATTGTATCGAAAATCCTTTCTGGCCCCGCCACATACACGTATGTAGTTTAACCGACTTATAATTTCGTTCAAAGTACGCCACCACCTTAGCGACGCTGCGAGGTCGGCGAAGATTTCGTAACAATCCCACCAACAGAATAACAAACAATCGAGTGTATTACTTAGCATAAACCGTGAACAATCAACAACGAAAACAACCTAAATACGAAGTACAACACTTTTAAAATAGATGAAACAACACTGCATGCAGTCCGTTCGTGTTGTTCTAAAAGCCGCCACGACGTTTCGCGAGCGAGCCAATCTATCCAGCGATGAGACACGTCATCAGAGTCCGCTTTGACCCGGACAGTGCGGCAGTCCGACCAAGTAGGTACTGTGGGAGGATGTCAGCGCGTTCAATTTCTTACCAAATTTGCTCGTCCGACAGTCATCCCAACAGGTGTGCCGGGGCGCAGTCATCTGTTCAAGTCAGCGAGCAATTATGATCTATCGCGGGCCGAGGCGGTCGGACGGACAGATGCAGTCGCTAATGCTCCTTCATCATGAGGGCAATCAGAGAGGAGAGCGGCTCCTCAGAGCTCCGTCAGACCGGCGAGGCGCACGCCGCCTTTCCAAACCGGCCCCGGGCCTCGTATTTTTATTAACCCGGCAGTTGCTGGGGTATTTCGCCACCCACCGTTTGCTGGCGGGGGGCGTTAAACGCCCCCAGCCGATAACTCGAGAACCAATAGGCGCAGCGAAACGCACGAGGCGGCAAACGAAAGAACGCGACGAGACCCTTCAGATGAGTACTTTAAAGTTGAATTTTGAGGTCACAGGTCGGGTCAAGGTCAGGTCAAACACCTGAAATCGGGCTTTCAGTAGCATGGACTTCAGGACTTCGCAATGGGCGCCTCTCGTCATAAACTCTGTCAAAACGGTGCACAATCCTTCATATAAGGCCTACAAGAGTGTTAGCTCCATGTAGGGGTCAGTCAAGGATAGGTCAGGGTCAAGGTCAGGTCAACCGGGTAGGCACATAGGTATCCCCGAAAATCAAAACTGATATTCGCAGCCTGTGACACATGTTTTATGGGTAATTTTGGGCTTAGAACACGATGGTGACATTCATTTTATCATAGGTGTACGTGTTTGGTTCAAAAAGTTCAATTTAAGAAATGCATATATCCTGGTCGTGAAGTAGTCACGAGAAATTGCCAAGATTCAGTTCAAGATTTTGGAAAATGCGGAACGAATATAAAAAATCGAAGATAGTCATTTGATTCTTCATGGTATTGGCAGTCTAATGACGTTTACGGCATGTCTGTATGTCTATTCTGTGATTTTATATGATTTTTTGAACATATACCGTTTTTGGTCGAAAACTCAGAAATCATGACGTCACTAAAACCTCGATATCTCAAAAATTCTCCGACCGATTTTTTTGAAACTTTGTCACAATAAACTTCAATCAATTCTCTAGAGGTACCTAAAATTTGGCGCGCCTGCGGCGCGCCGTTTTTATGCTATGACCCGGCGAAAAAAGTGGGGGCGTTTAACGCCCCCCCCCCAGCAACTCGCGGGTTAAACGACGCCCAGGATTCGACTGAGCCTAGCTGGTTCCAAGTGTCACCTTGGTTAACTTTTAATCACTAGCACAGCTACCAGCGTATGGTGCAGCAGAGGACGGGATAACGAGACGAGGACAATGAATGTGAAGCAATGCGGGACAATGGGGGCACCACTGGTCACGCCACTATCTCGTACCCACCGAAACCACCGGGCTCGGGACGGCCGTGAGGGGTGCTTTCACAGAGCCTGCCACGTCACGACGGTAGGTCAGGTGACGCAATCATTACAAAGCCCCTTCAGGCCGGGTGATCTCGATCAAGCCAACAAGAGACCGCCAAAGTCCCAGACATCGAAAGCTCTGGAACAACAGCTGAATCCTAGAGAAAGGTAAGCTCATAGGCCGCCCAGAGCTCCGAGATGGGCAAAACGGAATACCATCCACCGCTCTGAGAGCCACTGAATCAGAGAGCATCAAGAGCTTCTGAAGCCATCTGTAGAACTAGACCACCTAGACCACTGATGGGACGAAGCTATGTGTCGACCACCCCAAGATCTCCAGAACTGGGCTGACTCGGAGCGAGTGCGTATTGGAAGACGTGATCGTGGTCCACAACAGTTGAAAAGACCATAAGAAATTGTCAAGTGAGGCCATCGCTCGCTATGGTCATCTAGGCGTTACGGGTGCCCCTTGGGCGTCCCAGGGGGATGGCGGGGCCGTGACACGCCAGCCAGCAGTCACGGTGGTGCATGGTAGTGAGAATCACGCACCACCATGGGCAGCTCACAATACCCAACAGAAACGGTGATCATCATAGCTGAATTAAACCAAACTGAACACTTCGCCGACTCCGTTAGTTAAAGGCGAACTAGGAAGGCCAAGATTGAGTAAGATTTGGACTATGAATGTGAAGCAAATGCCGACAGGCCAACCCATGGTGGTCCTTCAAAAACATTATAACCACTAGCCCCGATGAGGCTACACACCAGTGCCCTCTAGGAGACACCTGTAGTCGGTATACCCACACAAACGACCGGCGCCAGAGCCGACGGTAGGCCATTCGGCGTCAGCGCGGAGCGTTACACCCATCATCCCCCGCGCCGGCCGTTGGGTCAGTCGCACACCGGCGTGATTTACGCCCACCCGAAGCGCTTCCGTGACCCCATTCATTCCGTAGCGCCGATCGCAAAGGTGGCCGCCGGTCAGCCGCAACAAGTGACCTGTTTGATAGGCTCCCGGTCCGTCCGGCCCCTGCCCGGCTCTGGCGGCCGCTCGGTGCTGGTCAATACTGGCGTTGCGAGCGGCGATCGCGCCCTCCCCCCACCGGCCGGCCCGTCTCCCTCACGCCCCAGTGTCAAAACCGCTATCGACCGGCCAACTATGTGCGTGCTGTGTCACCGGGCCGCATTGATTTAACCATAGATAACTGCAATAACTACAGAATTACGCGAGCTAATGCGTTCCAGATGGAAGCTAGAGCGCAATACGGTTTTATTGTCGTCGGAAGGGTAGGTGCTTAGCCGACTTTCGCAAAAGGTCAAGCGATCGAGCAACTTTTACAAAAACGTCTACACTTAACCAAATGGCTTGTGCATTGGGAAAGCTTCGATCCCTAGAATGCAGAATGTGAGGCGCATTACTGGCTCACATGCAGGTTGTAGATATCGGTACCTTCGGGCACGAAAAAAAAAACTCAAACTTTGGACGTCCTACACAATACCATATCATTAACCAATTGGGCGTAAAATAATCATTGCAGATGGGATCACCCCACAGTCCAACCGGGCAAACACGGAAAATCCCATTATCAAACAAAGCTGATCATATTTGCCAGGATCGTGACAATATTGATGCAATTGCAATGGAAATCGTGAAAAGTAAACATTGATTATCTACTTTAGATCAAGCTTACACACAATGTAATTAACTGAAAAATCCAGGAAAATCCACCACGCCACAGCATGGATTTCAAAATCAAATTCCGCTCCAGGAAAATTGGAGCAAGTGGATGCGTTGGAAAATTGGGTCACAGCCCGAAAAAAAAACATACTACATCTGTTACCGACGACAGAGCCGTGGCCATGACGTGAGCTTGAGCATAACGTAAGAAATGCGAAAAGAAAGGTATTTCGATATACCGAAATATATTTCAAGTTATGAAGATATCTTATGCTAGATCTCCCGCGACCATTTTTGTAGGAACAGGTCAGTCAGAAAGCATCAGGGCATAGATCTTAATGTTTGTTTTATGTTTATTCGCATTGGTCAGAGGAGAGAGAAATTTTTTTAGAGAGCAGAATGGACAGAATGAAGAGCGAGCCAGCAGCGTTTTCGACAGCTCATTAAAAAATATTTTATAGTAACTGCTTGGCCAGTAAACAAACTTACGGCAACTCCTGACTCAGCTCGACCCCGCCAAGTGTGAAGTTAGGATATCTGGAGGCTGGTTTCTTTGCATTGGCCTATACTGACGCGAAAATAAAGTCATTAAAATAGAATAGGCATTATTAAACAAGCATAAGGTAAACCACCTTTCCAAAGTTAACCCTCGCATATGTAGGGCGGGTCGGATGGACCCCCCCCCCCATGGTTTTTCGCGAATAACTCGCGTAAAAAGCGGCCGATCGCAACGAAACTTTCAGTACCCTCGAGTTGATTAATTTTACACCTACTCTGAAAATTTCATGAGCCTGACTCAAGTGACCTTTGACTTGTGACCAATTTCTCGAACCCATGTTTGGCCGGAATCGCGATTCGGCGTATGTCGGCTCACATTAGACGCGCGTTTGCAAGCTTCTCGTGGTTTCAAACGTTCAAACATGTGATTTGATGTTGCTCCCATGCATTTGGGTGGATGTCAAGGTCACCTGAAGGTCAGGTCAGGTCGTTGACCTTTGGTGACATCGGCTTACTTTTTCGAGCTTTACATGTTTCTAGGCTAGTTTTTTTAGCTGAATTCGAATTTAGCAACCATTTGAACATTTACGGAGTAGTTTTGGTGCCTTCGTAACATGTAACAAAGCTGCCAGAGGCGGTTGACACGTACTACGAATACCCGTCATGACCCCTACTGGTTGACCTGACCTGACCTGACCCGACCTGGTCTAAATGCTTAAAGACATCATCTGTGATCAAAACTAACGCGATATTCGTGATCAGCACACCGAAAAACCCCTTAGAAGCCACACTTAACGACTTTCTAACAGGTCTCGATTTTCCCGACCTTTGGGTCATTGACCTGACCTGGAAGGTCAATCAATGACCTAGGACCTTAAAATTGGGTATCATCGGCTTCCTCTCGTCACGTTTTTTTTTTTTTTTTGGTTAGGCCCTTTCGGTCCAATGAGACCATTTCAGAGTCGGGAGGATGATAGGATATAGGGGGAGAAATTGGTCTGGGCAGGCACCCTAGTGAGTCGTCGGGGCTGAGCCCGTCCAGAGGACAGGCCACCCAGCCCCAAGGCACTCACTGCACCCGGCTACGGGGTGCGCTCCCTCGGGAGCAGCGGTGCCGCTCCAAGGGAGCAGCCCGCATGAGATAAAGTTGCCTGTCCAGCCCGGAGGGGGGTTGCGGCGTGGAGGAGAAGGATTTCAGTATCCTGAGGATAGAAGCACGGAACGGGGCCTCTCGTCACGGGCAACACGCTCGTTTTTTCCGCGAAGCTCTAGCTCAATCAGGGGCCAAACGACAAGGGGGGGTCCAACCGACCCCCCCCCCCCCCCCTACACATTAGAAGCTGGCAAACGCCGCACACGTGCGAGGGTTAAGACCCTCAAAAACGGTCTAACAAGCTCCCCTTTCCCCATACACAGGAAACTCCTCGATGCCACCGCTGCCGGCTCGTCAGCCGCACCGGTCTGCCACCTAGCGGCGGGCGCACTCACCATAAGTACGCCGAAACTCCACCAGTCGGCGGCGAAGGTGTGTCCGCGGCGGCTGACCACCTCTGGTGCCATGTACTCGACGGTGCCGCAGAAGCTGAACGCCTTCTTATCGTCCAGTGCTTCCTTGCTGAGACCGAAGTCGGTGAGCGAGATGTGACCGTCGGCGCCCAGCAGGATGCTGTAAAAAACACGAGGCGGCGAGGCGAGGGTTAACAGAGGGATACGACTCGCTGCCACAGACACTACGACCCGTGACATGTGACCGCCGGCTGCCGCCGACACTGGGCAGTGCGCACAGTGCCGGCTAGCCTCTCCCAGCACAGAGCTGCAGAGGTCACCGACCGGTTATGTTCCCGAACTGTGCAGGTCATCTGTTATATCATGTATCCACAAACTGCTATCACAGTGATGATTCGGCATCACACAATAGGTGGCACCACAGCGGGTCACACGCTCAAATGTTCACAAGAGCATACGGTGTAAACGGTATACGCTACCAGAAAATTGCGTACTCCTCAAGATGTCAAAAACTGCAGGCTGCTTTACGTAAATAAATGGAAGGATAAACATAAAACCACACACAATTACTCTATCGTCCTGATGATAGTCCTGGCCGCGACAGGATGATTACGTCGCTCTCACGTTATAGAGCAGCGCCCTCTGTGGGGTCTCTGGGTCGAGGAGGCGCCGCCATACAGCCGGTCCCGTCCCTAGGCCGGTACACTGTGATCACCACAGCACCTCGCCCGAAAGACACGAGCTCCACCGGAGCACAGGACACCAAAACACACCCGTTAGATTACTGGCGCAACAAGCGGGAAATATAGGAACATGTTACTGTATGGTATGTATGAAGCGTCGCTACCTGTCAAAAATGTTTCAAGCTAATTAACAAGGGGTCATGAGAATACCATATTACCTGATGCTGAATTAAAGAAGGATCTGTGTAGAGAAGGAAGATGTCAGGAAAGTACCGGACAGACGAGAGAGGTTGCAGGTTGCAGTCCTTGCGCTTCCCTGCAACATACGGGCTCTGCAAGAAATCAAGGAGACACTTCATTATTTCGCCACAAGGACCAACAGGGTCGACAGTTCTTTTTTTTTAGATAAATGGGGGTTCGCTTCCTTTTGATTAGACATTCGGCTCAAATGTTCTTACAGATACTGTTCTTGAAGAGGATATAATAACAGCCAAAACACTGAGCGTCGGTCGTGGCCGCGGGCCAAATGATTGTCAGTACTAGCGCAGGTTAAATACATGTCGATTACGTTCACACTACACATATGGTTGACAAACGGCCACCCGTTGCATGCCGAAATATACAGCACCGTCTTGCTTACAGCGAGCGCCGGGTGCGCCATCTAGAGCACAAGACCACCGAGGGCAGAAGTCGGCAGGGATATTCTGCCTATTAGACCCTAGCATCCAAAACTGCAACCACGCAGTACACTTTAATGCTGGAGTTTTGCGATGGATAAAAAATGAATGGGAGAGAGACACTGTTATTGCAACTATCGGTCATATATTGCAATGAAAACACTATTTAGGAGCTGGCGACTTTTTATGACAACTATCCAGACGTGCTGACCTTTCACCTAGATACGCAAACACTGACGCGACCCGACAATGCATTCAGTTCTGGTTATTAGAGCGTGGTAGTCAAGAAACAGTTTCGTTTAGTTAATAATTGGGACGGAAGCACTACTGTCAATGGATTCATTTTAAGAGCAACATGTGCACTGTGCTCACCCAAAGGTTCCGGATATGAAGCTAATCCATCACCAATGAAAAACAACCAGTCAATGACTTATGCGCTGCAAGTCGCGGTCTATGTTCCCGAGGGAGCAGCAGACAGCTCATTTACCGATCACAGCCGGGACTCATTGCACATGCACACCGCCTATTAATGAGTGCAACGCGCCTGCGACGTCAGAGCTCGCGCGGCGACTCGAGTGACGTCATCGCACACGCGTTGACGTCTGTGACGCTTTGACCCGATCTCCGTCGGGGTAGCAACACCGGTCGCTGGGGGAGCGGGCGGCAGGGGTTGGTGACATTCAGCTATCGAGTCGGGTCCCGCCGCAGTTCGAAACTGCACTATTGTGAGAAACCCACCCAACTTGGCGTACTTTCAGCGCTGAGAAACTGAAACTGCGCCACACCCTGACGTGACTGCAGATGTTATGTCCTTTCATGGACGATAAAGATTCAGTGTATTTTCGTTCGTTGTCTTGGTGCGCTTAGCCATACATATCGATGATGCTATGACGAGCCAAGGGAAGAAATAAGTGATATGGGGTGCTGCTTCACTGCTCCTGTTTGTGATTTTCAACAGTGTCGGACTAAGTGGATCTACCGCTACCGCCATCTTCAGTGATCGGGCCGGCGCCAGTTCGCCAGAGTGCACCTCGGTACCCCGCGCCGTGAACGCGTCAGCGCGGGTATTACCTCCGCGTGAGAGCCCCCTTTGCGGTGAGACCAGCTGGAGCCTTTAAAGCAAGGGGGCCACCTTTGAGGCGAGGCTGAGCGGAAATCCCCTTTGAGGCAAGGACGTCTACTCGGCCGTACAGCCGCCTTAGAGGCGAGGTAGGCAGTAGTCGAGGGATTTGATTACTAAATCGAATCGTCAAGGCCGTGGACAGTCCTCACAAAGACACCCTCAGGACACAGTGCATCGGTCATCACACACGACGGCAGAGGAATGGGGAACAGCGGAGAAAGGGCAGCACTCAAACTGCCAGAGTCGAACGATAAAACCAACACAGCCCCCTCCATGAAACGCCAGGAGCCTTACTAACTGACCTAGGAATTGAAAAGCACACATCAAAGAGAGGGTTAGATAGTGTCTTCAAAAAGAAATTAAATCAATTTCAATAGGTTCTTTTCACTTTTATCATGCTTGAAAAATCAAGGTAATAACAGTGGAATTATTATCATTTATATGCATGACAACTGTAACAGAAATGAGAGCACCACAAAAAAAAAAATAACAAGGCTATGTCAATGTCCCCGTACCTCAGTTGGAGCATGCATTGTGCAATGTGCATAAGGTCGGTGCCAGGTAGGAATCGTGCATAGACAAGGCGTACTCAATGTGCCGAATAATAGAACAGGGAACTATCCACTTGGGCTCAGAGAATGGGCATTTAAACTGCATGGCTCCACTGGGGATCCGGTTCATCAGGTAGGAAATGGAGTCCATGGCAGATGGCGGTATAATCAGGAGGTGAACACTGAACAGTACAGATCGGGCGGCGTGGGTCGCGCAATGGACGATGCACGGTGGATAGTCGGATAGTATAGTGGATGGTGGGAGACGGAGGATGCAAGACAAGACATCTGGCATGTGAACAATGACGGTGGATAGTGAGTAGTGGAAGGCGGCCAGTGAATAGTAAGGCAACGGGCAGTGAGCGGTGAGAAGCGACGGTCACTGAGCGGTGAGAAGCGGCCAGTGACCGGTGAGAATCAGTGGAAAGGAAATTGACCTGACCGGTGAGAGGTGGCGAAAAGTGACCCGACCCATGAGAAGCGACGGCCAATGACTGGTGAGAAGCTCTGCTCACTTTTCCGGTTTGAGGTCGCGGTACATGACGCCCAGTGAGTGCAGGTGGTCGAGCGCCAGCGCCAGCTCCGCCAGGTAGAACTTGACGTCCTCCTCGGTAAACATAATCTGCAGCACAGCCCACCGAGGGTGTGGCGTCAGACGATCGGCCGACCGCGCGTCCCGGCCGGTCTCGACACGGCCGGTGGCGCGTCAACACAGTGAGGGGAGACATCACACGCGGGGTCGCACAAACGGCAGCTTGGTTTTGTCAGGAGATGACACATTGCATAAGCTTCTGAGCGATGGTAAAAAAGTGATAAGTGATATGGCTCCTGAATATTGAATATAATTCCTGCGGTGATGACAGTATACGCAGTACGTTCCTGAGTGATCGCATACCACCAGAAACGAGCCTCGAAATATAAATATCAACAGCTTTCAGCCTTCTGCGCAATGACAAGTATATCTTACATAATCAGCTTTTCCTGTTACTTGTTAGACGGGTGCTTTTTGGAAAAGGTCACAGTCCAAAATACAATACCCGTGCTGCATTGTACAGCTAATGGAATAATGCGGCCGGCGCGGTCTCGCTAATCCCTTCAGTGGCGGCTGGCGGAACGGACCCGCTGGCGGCGACCGGCATTAGGCCGCCTCTGCAGCTCCGGCTCCGGACAGCTGCGGCGTGCCGGGAGCGGCCCCAATCACAGACCGATTGTCGGACCGTCCGCGGCCGGTGACCACCTCACGGCCGCATCAATTATACAGCGCCGGACCGACCGGCCGGCGCACCGCGGGTCCATCAATACGGGGATGGAGAGTCGCGACGACGGCAGGCAGTGGGTCGTGCCGGCGGCACGGGCGTATGGTGTGCAACACTGCTGCTAATAGTCAATACATAACTCAATAAGCACGGAGAGCCTTCAGGTTACAAACTTTAAAGGGACCGTCCCACCTTAACATTAGATTTGAGTTGAGATGGCCAAAATGGGGTCCCTGGCTCACACTTACCGGTTTCGGCACTCACAACATCGAGAAATGCCTTAACACGCGCAGTGGAAGGGTTGCGAGTACTACGCCCAGTGGAAGGGGGGGCGGATGTCGCCCCCCCCCCCCCCCTAAGATCTCAGCTCCCACTGGAGCTAGAAAGACGAAATTTGGAGGGTAGGTGGGGGCCATGGGGAACTCTATTGTGTGTGAATTTCGTGACCCTAGGTCAATATCTTCAAGGTCAAATGAGGTCAAATGTGGTCAAATCTGCCATATTAGCGACTTTTTTGCGTTTACACGCCGATAACTCAAAAAGTTACCGGCCGATTTTTTTACAACTTTCACTATACGAAAGAGCAAACATTTATGAGTATGTATGGTGAATTTCTAGACAATCCAACGATAAATATGGCAGTTAGAAGCCTGCTAAGGGTAAGATGTCGCCGGCTGAAGCGGGATCGGCGGACGCGGGAAACGCGGCAATCACAATTTTGTGTTTACACACTCATAACTCAAGTTGTTACCGGCCGATTTTCAAAATTCTTTGACCATATGATTGCCTGTACAATTCTCAGTCTTCTCACCGAATTTGACGCGAATCTAAAATAATCAGCGGTAAGGAGCGCGATGTAAAGACGGAACCGTCCCGCCCCGGCACAGTCTACAATTCAGGCGGCGCGTAACGGCTAGCGCCGGCCGCCGCGCCGCCGCGCCGCCGCGGCGGCACGATGTTTGACTTTACACCGCTATTACTAGAAAAGTTGTGAACCGATTTTCTTACTTCTTGCACGAGAAGATCCGCTATTCAATTCTGGACAGGTAGCCGAAATTTCACATTGATATTGTACTTGCGGCGCGAGTTATTGGCGAAAAACAGGAGGGGTGGGCGAAATCCGCCCCCCCCTTCTACTGCGCGTGTTAAATCGGAAATATTGAATTTCAAAAATTGCAGCATTTTGATTCAGAGGGGCTAATGCATAGGAATACCCCTCTGAATGTGTGACGTCAACGCAGATATCTAACGATTTTTAAATGTTTGACTAAAACGTTTGGTAGCACGCGGTGGTATATGCTGCTTTGCGCGCAACAAATGCCGCACTTTCAAATAAAGTCCCTGGGAACAGCGGAGATCCCAAAAAGTAAACAAAGGTAAAAGTCTAAAAGTCCTAATATCTTGAAAACCGGTGAACATTTTTCGATGAAATTTGGTAGATATTCGTTTTCGCTCTTTCTGAACCGAGCGACATCACTTTCATGCCAATTCATTAACTTTTTGGAAGGTGGGAGGGTCCCTTTAACGCAGTAGCAAGAATCAGCACTGTCGTCACAGTCTAGACGGTAAAGAGGTATTTTAAGACTCTGACGTTCACACTGCAGCTAAAATTCCGCTCTTGTGCCGCCCAGTCGATGGGTAGCAATACCGCATCTCAAATCCCAAACCGTTAACAGTTCTGCCTGTGCTAACGCCATACATGGACTGAAACTTATAAGAGCGTCTGCACGTCCCGGAGCATTGAGCAGGAGGTCCGGAGATGGACTATAGGAGATGGACATTGGACAGTGGGCTACCTTTCTCTCCACCGGACATGGAAGGCAGCTGTTGCTTATTAACCCAAAATATGCTACAGTTGTTTCGTCATAGTCAAAGTTACCTCCACAGCCGTCTATTCGACAAAGCAACTGATAAGGCAAAATCCTTCAAAAAGGCATCACATTCAAATATCGCCATCCAATCTTGCCCTATTCAAGTTAAAAAAGTTTACTTGCAGGTTATAAAAAGGGTTTAGGCCGGAATAAATTGAATGCAAAAGCTGGCGTGCCCTTCAACTTCACTACTGACTGCACGAGGCAAGAAATGCAATCAAGTCGAGTGGTTTTTGCATCAGGCTTTGGGGTATCAGAGTTCGCATCAGATTTCAGACCACCTGTTTTTCAGTCACATTCAGCTTTCATCTCCCAGAATAGCAAGCCTGAAAGCTATGAGACCGCCCAGACTGACAAACTAATACCGAACCTAACAGCTCAGACGTAAGGACAAAAACAATGCTATCTGTACAGCTAGTTTTGCTCTAAATCGAGCTTCGTTATGTAAAGTACGCAGCACGCAATATAAAATAAGAAAATAAACGTAGTAGGTGCTAGTCACCTAACTCGAAGCACAAAGGAAATGCTGGAAACGGTATACTAAAACATCTGTAAAACACGCCATTATTGGAGCTGATCCATTCATTATTCATCTGTGAATAACCTGTTTGTTTATTGGGGCTTGAGGGCGCGCCGACTACGAAGGTGATTTTGCGCCCATCAGCCTTAAATAACTACAAAAACACGAATCAGGGCTCAAGGAATTAAACACGAGTCAAGGTTACATTAGGTGTGAAACATATCACAAACAGGCATCTTAAGTTCCAGTTAGCTCCACTCTATATTTGATAGCTCCTAAAATCAGAGTGGCGCCTAACAGCCGGCTGGCGGCCGGCGCCGCAGCGCACCTCTTTGGAGAGCCGTGTGAAGAGGTCCCCGCCGCGCAGAAAGTCCAGTATCAGGTAGAGTTTGCCCTCTGTCTGGAAGGCGTAGTGCAGTTTGACGACGAACGGGTGCTGCACGTCGGCCAGGATGTCGCGCTCCTTCTTGGTGCGCAGACGGTCCCGCACTGTGACGTCAGAACAAAACGGGGGAGAGGTCAGAGCCATGACGTCAGAGAACGGGGGAAATGGGTCGGACAGTGGTGACGTCAGAACAAAGGGGGAGGGGTTAGAGAAATGACGTCAGAACAACGGGGGAGGTGTCAGACAGAATGATGACGTCAAAAGAACGGGGGATGGTAGATAGTGGTGACGTCAGAGCAACGGGGCAGCTAAAGACGGAATGATGACATCAGTAAGACGTGTGAGGATCAGACACAATTGTCACAACAGGAGCAATGACGTCAGATGTGTGGAAGGACAAATTATCCAAGCATCCACAGCGTGTAAGTCATAACAAGGAATATGGACAACCATAAACAGCTATCAATCATCAAAAGAACCGCCATCACAAGCAGTTACAAGCATGGGCGGCGCCACCGGGGGGGACGGGGGGGACAGGTCCCCCGCTATCGAAAGTTAGGGGGTACAGTACCCCCCTATCGGCGAGGCCCGTTCAATAGTTGATAATAATGCATTATAGAGCTATCCGTCGCATTTAATGCATCGTTGGTTAATCAAGGCAGGTTCTGAATAAAGATTGCTGTTGGGATGCATCGCAGGGGGTCCTGGCCATCTGCAAAAGGTGTGGAGCTGTGATGCCTGTAGTTATAAGGTGATCGGCAGGGCCTCGGGGATCGTGCCCCCTTTTTGGGGCGGCAGGCAGGGTTATTACTTATTACCTCCCCACCCCACTGCCAGACCCCATTGCCGATAAAACCAAGTTCACTGAAACTCCATAGATTTCCGTTACTATATGAAAATTTTCCATTCCTAATTAGTCAAATTCAAGCATGGCAGTTCTACCACAGGGACCATTTGAAATCTATGCCATTTAACCCCAGCACTTGTGGGGAGAAGTGTTCGGATAGATCACAGGCAGGACCAAAAAAGCACACAGTAGCCCAAGACCTTATAATTGGATAATGGATATAGCATCGGCTCCCTCTCGTCAAGGGGTTCGATAGCACTCGTTTTTTTTTTTGCAAAACTAAGTTCGGTCGGCGGCCGAACGGCTGGGGGTCTAATCGAGCCCCCCCCCATCCCTCCCCTTCTTACGTCAGCGGCTGTGAAAATGCCATTACCAGCTGTTGAAACATGGCAGTTGCTTTTGCATGAGTGCACGAAAGGGTTTTAGGTCCGTGATACGTGAAAGGTTCTACATGAAAATTGAGATACACCAGCTTATCAAATTGTGCTCACTGTGGTGCGCTCGGTTTTACCTTGACTAGTCTTTGAATTCTGGGGTGAAACAGACCAGTCAAGAAACCTGTTCCATAAGGAGAGCCACTAATGCTAAAGAGATGTGGGATGAGGTTTCCAGAGACCTTCATTACCTCCTAAAGTGCCCCGCCATTTGCCAGTCCCTGCTGTAGTTGTTACGATTGGAGGGTGAATATGAGAACGATGCAGGTCGTGCCAGCTCGATCATGACGAACACAATGGTGCCGACATCACAGCTCTACTGCCATTTTTGACGAAGTTAATCAACAAGCACCGGAATCCTACCCTGGGGCATTTCACCTGCAGAGGTCGCCGAACCTGAGACCCTTTCACTCAATTTTTTTCAACGGTGCATGCGCTCGTTTTTCCCGCGAAGCTCTTGGTAAGTAAAATCCATCAGAAAGTGTGATCAAATAACGGCTGGTGACCTTCCATGACCTAGCATGGCCTTTTGAGTGACCACCGATGACATGACCACTGACGGCTAGCCATTAGCTGCACCCTGCCCGTTGCATATGGATCAGGTGGTGATGTCATGATTCTGAAATTATATTGCAGTTTTGGCGCACTTGTCAGAGCAGAAGATATTCCCACTTTTCCTCCATGACTATATGATGGTGAAGCCCTGAAGCTGACCAGACGTAAGATCGAAAATTTGAAAGTACGAAACGTAAGAATAGCTGGCACTGCTACTCATACCTAAGCAATTCGCAGCTTGTAGGAAACCAGCTTTGAGTTGGCAAGACTGCAAATTTTGATTTAGAGGCAAGGATGCTTGAAAAGGTGATCGATCTTAGGTGTCCTAGGATAAGTTTGGAAACGGGATGCACCATTCGATGTGTTTTGGGCCTTGCCAAGTTTCGCGGCGTTACGTGCCTCGTTTTTTTTTTTTGCATACACGATCAGTATCTACTTTTGGGATTTTCGGTCCCCGTCCCCCCCTATCGAAAACCCGTGGCGCCGCCCCTGGTTACAAGCCGACATCCAAACATTCACAGGAAGACAGAGAAGCCCCGTGCCCTTCCCACATCCCCAGCCACCCAATGATCGCGGTCCAATCAAAGGCCAACCGGGGCACAGCGGATGCCCGTGCTCCCAGCCAACCCCGCTCGGTGTCCGTTTGAAGCGCGGCCCGCCGGGGTCGGACTGGTCGGCTGTGATGTGCGGAGCATTGGTACACGGGAGGCTGCGTCATTGAGGGCGCCGGATGCGGAGCTTCTAACTTCTCAGACAAACGTCCATCTTCACCGTCCAGTCTCTCCTGTCTATGTCGCTCCCAAACCCAGCTTCCTCTCTGTCCCTGCTACCCACACCCCACGTCTACGTCTACGTCTCAATCTCCGTCTCCGTCTCCGTCTCCATCTCCATCTCCGTCTCCGTCTCCGTCACCATTACCACCACGTTACCTGGGCTCCCGCCGGCCCCGACACACTAACATCGCGTCCCGGTGACCCCCTGACCTTGCGGGGTGCCCCGGGCGCGGCGGGCCGATACCGTCCGACACAGCCGAGGTCGCTATCGCGCCGCTTCCGCCGCCAACACGCGTCGGTGAGAACGCATCGGAGCGACAGGGAGCGGGAAGGGGGAGGGGGGAGGGGTAGGAAAAGGGTGGTGAGGTGGACATGATAAGGCTGGTATAGGGTCAGCATCAGGAGAAGGGACAATCAGCGCGGCGGTAGCGAGAGAGTGAGGAGGGAGGGAGGGAGGGAGGGAGGGAGGGAGGGAGGGAGGGAGGGAGGGAGGGAGGGAGAGGGAGAGGGAGAGGGAGAGGGAGAGGGAGAGGGAGAGGGAGAGGGAGATGGAGAGGGAGGTAGAGAGGAGAGAGGGGGTAGAGAGAGAGGGGTAGAGAGAGAGAGAGAAGAGAGAGAGAGAGAGAGAGAGAGAGAGAGAGAGAGAGAGAGAGAGAGAGAGAGAGAGAGAGAGAGAGAGAGAGAGAGAGAGAGAGAGAGAGAGAGAGAGAGAGAGAGAGAGAGATCATCACGGCATGGAGACAGGACCCAACTACAGCTCTATAACACCGTCCGACCAGCGTCATTGACATTCAGTGACGCGCGGGGTCTGGGGCCGCAGCGCCGGGCCCAATCACACCGGCATTACGACGGAATGACTGTGTTCGGCGATCGATCCGCAACGGCCCCGCCTCCTTCAGGGCGGCCACGAATTAACGATCAGATTATGAACGGCCAGCCTCGCATGAGGTGAAAATCACATTACCTGGCCCAGCCAAGGTAGGCGAGAGTGACGACTTCCCCGGGCACCACGCTCGACCGTGCAGTGGATGGACGAGAACTGCTTATCAAGTACGATAGCAAGCACAGCTGAGCCGAGAGCAAACACTACGAGCTGAGTTCAGTGTGGGGTCGGACAATAGGGGACTGCACAAAGACGAACATGGACTGAAAGCAAGTATAAGGACGATAAAAATAAATAATGGGCTCAAATACTGGGCTCGGAGGCAGGTGACAATGATATGTAGTCCGAATATAAAGCAAGGGGCGAATAAAAGGGACTTATAAACGACGGAGGGCTGCGAGGCAATCGCTTGGTTAAAACAAGAACACAGTCGAGGACAGCAAGTGAGACATGGACACGAGCGGCGGCCAACAGTTCCTGGGCAGGAGCCGGTCCGCCCCTCCTCCCGCACGGACCACCCCCGGGGGCGGCCGGCCGCGGGCCATTAACCCGCGCCCGGCTGGGGGTCCTGGATTTCCACGCCCTGCTGGGGGGGGGGGGTGTTTGAACACCCCCCCTTCTAACTCGGCTCCTGGGCCACGTAGCGATACGCGGAAGGCGGCGTTGGAAAGAGCGTCAAAAATAATGAGGAAATCACTTCGGTCAATTTTTTGGTCAGGTCAAAGGTCAGGTCACCAGAGGTCATTGAAGGCAAAATTTCGCCGATTTCCAGGTCGAATGTCGACAATTTCCAACAAGCCAACGCATAACTCGGGAACTAATAGAGCTACAGCGCCGCGGAAAAGCGCATTCGATAGCCCTATTAACGCCCTTTCTGAGTAATTCTCTCAGATTTGACCTAACGTCAACGGTTTTGCCTGCAGGGGGCAAAAACTGCAAAAATAACCGATTTTTTTCGGAAACAGTTTTTCTGCAATAACTTTTGACCCAAGCCTTGTACGAGCTTACTTTTACCGGGATCGTGTTCCTCTCATCAAGACGCATCGAATGAACTATAACTTGACCTTGAAAGGTCAACTTGAAAATTTGACCTCAGGTCAAGGTCATGACCTGACCGGAAAGGGTCATGTTGCATATCAGTCGATCCGTATCGTCGAGCTGAACACATCTAAGGCGTTTTCATCGCTCTAGCATGCCTCTATCAAAAGTTATTTGCGAAAAACTGTTAGATGCCATTCGTGACCTAAGATGACCTCAGGGCATAAACAGGGGTCATGGACACCATTTTCATGCTCAGTGTGTCTAAACCACTTGTAATTCAGTGTTTGGGAGTGTTTATAATGTCTTTCGTCCAAAGGAGGCGCATTTCAATTTTCTCCCATTGCCTTATAATGGGGAGGTCGCAAAATTGACCTGACCTTAGGTCATCGATATCAAAATTCTGAGATATACATTTTGTACATGCTATTGCTCTTAGCAATCGCTGAAAGTTTCAAAGCGATCGGTCACTCGATGTAGCTATGACAGACATTGAAACATTTTATGAGGTGAGGTCACTTCAAGTGACCTGGTGACCTGACCTTGAATGACCTTGGTCTGAAATTTTCACAACATGTGTAGAATTGATGTATAATAAGGTGTACCAAAAACGGCGGCGCTTGAGATATTCGCGAAAAACCACAAGGGGGGGTGTTCAAACACCCCCCCCCCCCCCCAGCAGGGCGCGGGTTAAAGGGAGATAATGAGCTTTCTTTTTTCTTAAATCAAAATTACTCGACATCTATACTATTTCTACTGTAGTTTCTATAAAATATGAAAATTTCCTAGCACATTTTCGTATGTGAAAAAGGTTTTTATTTTTGCAAAAAAGAAGCAGTACTTGCAGTACTTGTAACACCCACCGAAATGCGTTGTCCTTCTCTATAAAAAAGTCGCAGTATATGGCGCTTTTGTTTCAAACAGCGACGCTTGGGTTTTTGTTTATGTTATCGCCTTGTCGTTGCTTGGTTGTAAGGATTCTAATTTGAATTAGAGTTAATTCGGTTTAGAATTAATTAGATTCTAATTCGGGGGTACATAGTGCCTACTCTTCTTTGTTTCCAACATTATTTTGTCGCGCTCCTTTCATCGTTTCATCGTTTCTCCTTTCTCCTCAACATCGTTTGCGTCCGCGACGCAAACGACGACGGCGGCGGCGGAGCGCGCGGGGGCCCCTTGGACGCGCGGCTGGCGCCGGCGGCGTGGCGGTCTGGCCGAGCTGACGGCGGCTCCGGTCGGTCGGCTGCCGAGCCCGGCTCGGGCGGCGCGGCCGCGGACGGGCGACGGTGATCTGTCGCGACGGCTCGTCTCCGGTACAGCCTGGCGCGACGTCTGTACCTGGACTAATGCAGGTGACCACGGTTTCGTCGGCAATTACCTGTACAGGTAACAGTACCGCGGGTTGCAGGGGAGGGGTGTGTCGGTGTGTGTATTGCTGGGGGTACTGTTATCTCTTGAATTTCCTTGGAATGCAGGCTACATCGCGATGATCGTTCTGACAAGGGTCGCAGTGCTTTACATTGTATGAAAGTTACGGAAACGTTACATAAATTATGGCGATGTGCTTTACATTTTGCGTTTCTTTTTCGTAAAGTGAGATGTAACGTTAGCTTGCCTACGTTTAAATAATGCGTATGCTGATTTTTTTGTTTTTTCGCGCGAAATAAAAACGCCATCTGGCGGCCGGCCGGCGGTGCGGCTGCGGGCGATCGGTGCCGGCTCGTTGGCACAGCGTGCGTACGCTGCGTCCAGTGGGAGGGGGGATGGGAGGGTTCTGCGGGAGCATTACGGGTCAAAACTCAAAATATTATCGAACAGTATTACATTGCACTCCATCTATAAATTTCACAGATGGAGCGACGATGCGCATGCAGACCGTGGAATGCTAAATTTAGGAAATGTTTGTGTCTCCTAAGCTTAAAATAGCGTCACTCAACGTAAACGGGCTACGAGGCTGCGCTCAACGAAAAATGCCAAAAAGGCGTAAAATATTTACCTGGTTTAAACAGAAAGCAATAGATATTATTCTTCTTCAAGAAACGCATTCATCAGAATCAGACGCCCAGATGTGGTTAAATCAATGGGGAGGCAGTGGATATTTCGCTCATGGAGAGAAAAACAGCAGAGGCGTGGGAATACTAGCACGACCAAACTCTGGCATCGTTTTTAGCAATGTTTTTAGTGACGATAATGGTCGCTACATTATCCTCAACGCCGAATTCAATGGTGCTAGGATGACGATAGGGAACGTTTATGCGCCAAATCACGATAACCCAAGCATGCTAGAAGATTTTTGCGCAAAACTAAATGATTACGACGATAGCTAACGTGACTTCAAGTTGAGATATTTGCGGCAAGGTACCGAATTGAGCAAAATGGTTTTAATTTACATTATAACTTGTTGTGTTTTGTCAGAAAATGGTCCTAACTCAGATTTTGTGGAAAAAGGTCATTATCTCCCTTTAACAACCGCCGCTGGCCTTCACAACACATCAACAAACATCGCACGTCTGCAGCCGTCCGAGCGGCGGCCCACCGACCTTTGAGAGTGGCCTTCTTGAGCACCTTCATGGCGTAGAGCGTGCCGCAGTCGGAGCCGGTGATTTTCCGCACCAGGAACACCTGTCGATCAGAGGGGCAGTGGGATCAACAACACGCGCTTCAGCTAGTGCACAACCATACAGACACAGGCGGTGCTGCCGGCATATTCTGATCTGACAACACACAGAGTGGCAGGTGTAAAAACGTGTTAGGCGCCTGGGTGGGCAAACAAAGGCACGGAAGCGCAGTGGCTCAACAAAGGCGGCAAAACGGGAGGGGTTAGCCGACAGGCACAGGCCATGATTCATCGGTAGTCGCCACTCAAGGCCCGGCAAACAGCCCGCGCTTCAGACTTCCGACGCGCCGCGCTGACTCAAGGTTCCGGCACAGGTCAGGCATTGTCGCCGTCACTATCTACCAAAGCAACCACCGAACAAGGGCATGCAAATACCGACAGGAACGTTGCTCAAACACCGTCGGGGCATGCCTCACCCCACATGGCCGGGAGTGCCGCGCCTCCGATTATCAGTGCCGCATCCCACGTCGCCCAGAGTAGCAGCATGGAGTCGATAAGCCAACGCCCAGTGAGCGGACGCAATCTCAGCGCGACAACTGGGTGATCACGTCATCACGTCATCAGACCGTACCTACGGCGATAGGTCAGACGTTCTCGTTCGATGTCTTCCATCGACCCGTCATCAGTTTGGGCTGTCTAAAACAGTCACTGAACAGCTCGCTATAAACCGGCGGTGATAGACGGAGTCAGCGCGCCGGCCGCTGTCCATAAACCGCCGGGCCGGCGTCCGTGCACGGCCCGTCAGCTGGGAGCTCTGTGTGACCGCTAGGCTGGCGTCCACCGGCGCTCACAATGACGTCATGGAAATCCGAGCAATGCCGGTCGTCGGCCGGGCGGCGGCGGCCCAAACGAACCCGTTCACGGAACCGATTCAAACGGGGGAGAGCCGCCGTTGTGACCGTCGTACACAAAAGCACAGGCCGGCGCCGACAGGGCAGCGGCGGTGTGTCGGTTCTGAGGAACCCGCCCGGCCCAGTAGGTCAATGGGCGCCCACAGCTGGGACAGCGCGCTGCGCGCTCTGGCACCCCGGCTGCATCGCCAATTGCTGAATAATACATGCGAGATGTGACCGAGGCGGGCGCCGGCCGCGGCGCACCGAACCACGGCGTGAGTCATCCACTGCCAGCGGGGCTGCCGACAGCCCCAGAGCGGAGCAGTCGGCACGGCGGCGGCCCAGCGCGGCGGTCCGAGAGGCAGCCGGCCTGCCCGCTCAGCTGACCCGCCGGCGGCCGCAGCGGTACAGACGTGCCTGCACGTCAGCTGCGGGGCAGGGCCGGTGCTACCAGGGCCAGCGGCTGTCCACTGTCCAGGGCCAGCTGCTGCTGCTCTGTTCAGGGACATCGAGCTCGGCTAGGAAAGAAAGATACTGGCGAGGGTGATGGGCTTGCGAGTAAAAGAATATTGGCTTCCTGAGGTGAGCATCTCAAAAGCTCTTGTCAGCGAATAAGCTTGCATGTGCCAGATTTAGGATCGGGGAATCGAATTAGCATTTGTTCGACACAGGTAAAAAGTATAACACATACATTTTCTGCCTAGTGACTACAGGGCAAGTTGGCAGCACCAGTTGCTCCCAGGCCCTGCCTGTTGCTCGTTAGCACGAGCACCACTCTGTCTTATCTCCAGCGAACTTTGCCCGTAACGGCAGGGTAACATTATCAATTGACAGTTACCACCCTAACCCTGAAATCTCACTCTACCAGATCGGAGGCAGCAAGGCAGCAATCAGCTTAGCAATTCAACACACCTTTAACTAGCCGGCGTTACATCATAGCAGCTTGAAAAGCATCGGATCAAACAATGCATGCAATTGTACATACATAGGCGGCGGAACGGGGAGGGAACCGGGGCACCGTGCCCCCCTTTGATTTTGGCATTTTAACATTAGCCTTATGGGCGCTGCATGGAAAGAATGGGACCAAAAGTCGGCAGTGCCCTCCCCCCCCCCCCCCCCCCTTAATTGAAGGTGCTCCGCCGCTACTGTGTACATACACACAAGCTCGTAAGCACAGGTCGCATATAACTTGCAGGAGTCGCAAAACCGCATCCCACACTCGCGCAGCAGTCGACGAAAATCCCAATCTTCTCAGAAGGCGAGCCGATGCAAATCAATGTCACTGCCGCACTTCAGTATCAATACCATGCCTCGGCTGCCCGTGTAGAGCACTCAATATTGTATTGGCCAGCCGGGCTGGTTCGACCGGGCAGGATTGGTGCGCTCCGGTGGGCCGCCCCGCTCAGACCAAGTACCGGCAGTCCGACCAGAGGTTACCTGCAGAGGCCTTCTCGATGACAAACCGGACGGTACGCGCTCCGATCGCGGCAGCGCGGCAAATCGGACGGCACCGTAAAAACGAGCGGCCGTATCGCGGATCGACACCGGCTCGACAGGACGGACGCCCGGTGCCGGATCAGACAGATCGAGACGGACGAGCACCGCCGGCGCCGAGCTTTTAACGACTCGGGAAAAGGTCAGATCAATGAGTCACATCACTACAAGAAAGGTGGCAATCATTTGAACTGAAGCGGTTTAATTGTGAAGACATGATATTGATCAAACAATACTGACAGAACGGATCAAACAAGAAATAACTTAAAACCAAGTGTGACAGATCAATTAATCGACACCGGCGCTTCTAAATCTGGAAGGTAACCCGGGATCCCAGCGTTTCCACCACCTGGGATGTTACAACCGCTCACATAGGCCGCATCGATGGACTCACCTTTCCGAACGAGCCCTGTCCGAGCACCTTGAGCAGCTCGAACTGGCGCGGGTCGGCTTTCTCCAGTCCGTCTCGGGTCACTTCCATCAGCTCGATCTCGGTCTCGTTGGCGGCGCCGCCGCTGCCGCCGCCGCCGACGCTGCTGCCGTCGGCCTCGGCGGCGGGGTCCGGCTGAAACAGTCACAGGGCCGCTGTCAGTGACGGGCCGCGCGCCCCGCTCGTAAACCGGCGACAATCCCGGCCGGCCGGCCGGACCGAGCGACCGACCGGCCCGCCAGGCTGAAAACGAGCATCGCAGCTCGAGCACAATATGCCGTAACGGAGCTGAAACGGCGGGGCAATCAGCCAGGTCGCGTCGGTGCATTGTATTGCGGAGCGCGCAGACATGCTGCAAATCACTATTGATGTAATATGGACAAAGTTTGAACAGCATGACACCATCCATGCGAAAACAAACACGCTGGTAATGACATTCAATCGCTCACCTCACAAAACAACTGGAATAGTCACAAGCTCAGCACATTACATTATTATGAACGTATTACTGGTCGACCCGGCACATCCACCGATGCGCGGATGAGCAAACACTTGGCGCTTCCTTGTGTCTGAGGTCCAACTTCCTACACACAACCGTCGGTATCAGCGGTAACACGCGGAAAACGCTCGAGTAGAAGCTTACCGCCACACTGAAAAGATTATCTGACAATCCTTCCCCTAGCACTGACTCATCCTACAAATATTTTGCATGAAGTAATTATGTGGGAAGTAAATCAATTATGTTTAGAAATAGACAAAAAAATACTTGACAACACAGAGCATAAATCAGTTGACATTGCCATCGATGTACCTACAGCCCACCGCTAAAGTAATGTAGGGTTTTACCAATATCAACGGTTGGCTTTGACTGGTGATTGTTTAATGCGGAGTGATCGAAAAGAAGATGTCAATAGCTAAAGTTGCAGCTGCAAGGGTGACGATACATATAACCCTCGCCGGTCGAGGGGGGCGGGTGCCGCCCCCCCCCCCCCATAGGGTTTTTTCGCGATAGCTCCGAACACGCTGGCGATAGAGAGCTGAAACTTGGCATACCTGACCTTTGATCCAAGCCGTATCTTTTGACACCAACCGCATTTTTGGGTCAGGTCAGGTCACTGACCTATGACGTCATAAGTGAACCTCTGCACGGTCTTCAGATGTCGCAACTTCGCAACGCCCTCACTGCCAGAGGAGATGTCACAGGGAAATGAAACTTGCAGGATCTAGTATCCATTATCAACTTGTATATCTCGGATTTTTCCTAAAGGTCATATGAGGTCAGGTCATTTTCGTGACCTCACCATTATAAGTCAATGGGGAAAATGAAAACTGCTATTCTGGCGCCGGGAACGATCTCCAACTATCTCAAGCACACAGAATCGTGATTTGATGCACTTCTTGCAAGGTTAGATGCGTCACTTTTGCAATGTTGACCTTGCGTGACGTCATTTATGACGTCATCAAGGTCATATTAGTTTTTCGTCAATAACTCTTGATCAAATTGAGCTAGCGACTCGGGAAAGCCACCAATGGACTCAGGAAGACCTGCCGAATCGTATGATATGCGAAATGACCTCTTTCGACCAACTTCGTGACCTGGGGGTGCTGACCTGACCTTGACCTGAGGTCAACACCCCAAGTTGACCTGACCCGAACAAAAAGTATATTATTCGACGCGCCTGAGCGAGGCGAACACGATGCTGCCAAAATCGCGGCTCTGCGACCGTTTTTTGCGAAATTATTCACCAAAAACTGAACCGTACCTTGGGCACTTGACCTGACCTCAGAGGTCACCGGTTGACCTAGGACCTTAAAATCGGGTACCAATCTCTGCGTCTCGTAACGGCACACACGCTCGTTTTTTTTCCGCGACGCGCTAGCTCCACCAGGGGCGAAACGGCGAGGGGGGTCGTACCCGCCCCCCCCCCCCTCGGCCGGCGCGTATGTAGAAAACCAATAGGTCCGGCGAGGGATAAGCTACATTCAAAGTTTCATTGTAGTCTGGCTAATCGTTCCTAAACTTCAGCAGCAGAACATACCCACGACTGAAACCCCACATTACTTCTGCTGTGGACTGTACAGTGGGTCTATTTAAGATCTCCAGAGCCACCACGTGGCGCTACGGTCGGAGTAGGGCGAGTCCAAACCCCGAGGGAAGTGAGGTCACCGGTCATTGTGGGGGAAGGAGGGAGGGGGAGTGACGCAGTATCACGGCGCATGGGGCGTGCGTAGCGCCGGGAGTAGGCCCCCCAGGACCGCCCGCCACTGGGCCGAGGCTGAGGGGAGGGATGATGGTTGCGGGTGCGTTCACTCCGGTATGGTGGTATCCTGTTCATGCAGAACCAGCAAGAATGCGACTGAAGGGAATCATTATCTCAAACAAACGGGCAAGCCAGAGGCAGCGTCAGTTTCAGCCAAAATGTTGAACAATGATAGGTAATTGAAATCTAGGACGCATTCATAGCGTTCATAGAAAAGCATCATGATGCTTTTCATGATGCATGATGAGGCTATTCTAAACTGTTATTTGAGTTAGATATTTTTCATTTTGGCACGTTCAGTTTTGGTGGGTTTTATCGGGCCGAAAAGAATCAGAAAAGAATAAAAAGATGGAAATGGCTCCAGAAAAATGTCCAAAAATATTTTCTTAAAAATGAAACTTTGCTAAACATTTATAAGCGATAATTTTGACTTTTTGAGAGGATATTGGGGAAAGATATTGGGGAAAGATGTCATCGTGCTTATCTGTGTTGCAGTAGAAGGAAAGGTTTTGGTTCGTGTCGAGATAAAACCAGACCCGGGAGTGGGGCTCGAACTCACTACATCGCATTCAGCTCACAGGTTACCCAACCTCAACGCTACGAGCACCTATCGCCCTGCGCAGCTTGCTCAGTCTTTCGACTAGAGTTCGGCCAAAGTGTCTGACGTCTGTCAATGTCACGAGGCGAAACCGCAAGGTAAATGTCCGTCCCGGTAGCTCGGTCGGTAGAGCGTTGGACTCCATGTGCCATGTGGTGAGAGCGCACGTCCCGGTTGCAAAAGTCCGGGTTCGAAACGCGACGTGTGTTTGACGTTTTCGAGCCTCCTGACGGGTATGGTTGTGGTTGGTGGCAGGCCGCTGCCAGGCGAAGTCAGTGAGGGGACCGGCCGCGCGCGGCTATGTGCGCATGTTAAAATTTGAACTCTAATTCTGCCATAGACCAGGAATTGTTTGATCGGAGGGCAGAGAGCAGGGTCAACGCAACAAGCTCAGCTTAGCGGGGACTCTGCCCTTGTGATTCCTTTCATGCAAAAGGTTCGGGCCAAATTTACTATTATAAAAGGGGAGCCGAACCAGGTTGGGCCGGGTTGAACCCGGTTGGACCGGTGTCTTACACGCAATCATGGTCAGACAAAACAGAGGCTAACTTCGGGTCAAATATTCTTATTAACTGATCTTATTATTTTAAGCTTAAACGTATATTAGCTTTTAGCTTTTTTTAACTCGAGACTTCATGCAAAAAATGTGGCATTCGTCTACTTTTCCTCATCTTCTCTTAGCGACTTGATTTGACCTTAAAGGCCCATCTTACCAGTAAAAAAAAAATCACCTGCATGATAATTATTTTCCAAAGGGCGCTCTACGCAAGAAACGCCAGCCGGTCAAAAAAACTGGCGAGCGATACGATCTTTCTATTATTTGAATTATATTCAATGAAAGTTTCAGGAGACATAAGTAATATTAATGCTACTGGGCGCCCGGAGCATTCGCTAGCATTGCATTGCCAGCTGCATTACCAACATCACATTTGCATTACTTTGGGTTCATCATAGTTGACAGAAGAGGAACCGGCCACAGCAAACCCATGCCTCATTATCCTTTCCTTCCAAGCAGCCAACTGCCAAGCTAACCGGCCGCCCGGCCCAACACCGCGATATGGAACAACGCTGGACTGCGCCATTTGCCTGCGGCAGTGCCCCACCGCGCCGGGGCTGTTTGACAGGTCACCCGTACCGTGCCCTCGCCGCCCTCCCCGCCCCGCCCCGCCCCCTCCCCACCTCCCCACCGGGCTCAGCTCGGTAGTGACCTCTCCTTGAATCTCACATGGACTCGACTGAGGCTCAACGCCATCTAGTTTCGTCTGGAGATCCTTACTAGATCCACTGTACATTGGCTTGGACTGACCTCAGGTCAGAGCTTAACAAAGGCATGGGACATGGGCTTCTTCCATAGAAATTTGAACTAAATATAACTAAAGTTGGAGGTGGCAGATTTCGATCATCTCAGCTTTGAGGCTTGGATTCGAGATCTAACTTTTGTGAGGTTTCGTCAGTTTCTAAGGAAACTCCGTCTCACAGACCACTCCAATGATCTCACAACTTGAAATTTCTTCGGGAACACGCGGCCGCACATGCATCAAAATGCTTGAGAATCATGCCACCGATGGATACCTACTTATCTGGACAGCGATGTTGGATTATAATCGGAAAAACGCCTCCAGCATCAAGACCTTGCGGATACCCCAATGCATTTTATCTACTGACAGCTTGCCAATGACGTGAATAAAAACGCGACGTGAGTCACGGCGTACGAAGGTCAATTTCAGCGTAAATTACGGGCTGCCTCCGTTGACGGCTATTTGCATTTCCATTGCCTGTTGGATCGATGTCGGCAGGAGCGGGCTGGGCACTGAGTGAACCGGCCAGGATCAGAGCGTGTGCGAATGATCGGGTGAGGGACCGGTTTAGTCATTGGTTGGGTAAAGGGCCGGGTGGTAAATTGGGAGGGTGACGGGGTTCTAATGTGGCAACGGTATTGGAACGTTGAGCAACGGTGCAGGTAGTTGATATATGTATTAGACAGTATGGCAGCTGGTAGATAAAATGACAGAACGTTCAAATGAAGGGGATAATGATAGAATTCGAACGTATGATTGGGTAACGAGCAAGGAGGCTGCTGCATTGGTTGATGTGATGTTGATCTATTAAGCTTTCTGCGGGGCGGGATGTGTAGGGGCACTGCGGCGGACCCTGACGCGGTTTTCTGGCGTCCGACTCTGCGGAGCGACGTCGCCAGCTCTGAACAGCCGTGAGTCGCCGCCGGGCCGCGCAAGACCCCAGGACCGGGGAACAGGATGGTGTAACACCGTGTCTCA